CGGGCGGCGGAGGGCCGGGCCGCCGGCCTGCGGCCGAGCGCGCGCAGCCAAGGCGCTGGCTGGTGGCATTTCGCTGGCTCTTTCTCCTGCCGAGCGAGGAAGGAAGGAAGGAAGGAAGGCAGGAGAGAAGGAAGGAAGCGAGGAAGGAGGGACTGTCTCGATGGAAGGTTCAGGCGGAGGCGCCCTCGCCCTGCGGGTGCAGCGGCCGCAGAGCGGCTCCCGGCGCCGCGGGCCGGCCGGGGGCGCGCGGAGACGGGTGGGGGCGGTTTGCATGCGTGTTCGTCTGTGCGTCCGCCCGGGGACCGGGCAGGGACATGTGTGTTTGGGCTGTGCACGGTGGGGAGCTAGGTCTGCGCCTTTATGTCTGTTCCCTGAAGTGGGTGGAACGTTGGCCCGTTCCGGGAATGTTCCATGACGTGGTGCAGCCACAGGAAGGGGGTTAACGAGGGGCTCTCTGCCGCGGCGGCTCTGCCGGCTGCTATCAAAGCAGATGTGCGGCTGCTGCTCCTCCTCTCTCACCTCCCTTCACCCCTCCCCCCGCCTCTCCATTCTGTGCGTCTGGTACTGGTCGGGGTGAGACAGGAAAACACTGCTGTGTGTGTGTGTGTGTGTGTGTGTGTGTGTGTGTGTTGGGGGGCGGTGATGTGTGTGTGGTGTCTGTCATATTTGGTGGGGGAGACTCCAGATCGGCTCTGCCACCCCAGCTGTTATCGCAGATCGGTGCGCTTTATACGCATGTGCCTCCCGCGTTCTGCCTCCCGCGTTCTGTCTTTCTTACATAACACATCCAGTGCAGCAGAGGACACGAGACAATGCGACCCCCGCCTTCCTAGCCCCAAATTGGATGAGGGGATGGAAGGTCAGGAAGTGTCCCTTGGTGTTGTCCTTCAGGGACGTGGCTCCCAATGGGGAGAAAAAGAGGAGGGCAAGGAGGGTTTTCTTTAAGTGGCTCCTCTCCTCTCTGACTTGAAAGCATCTAACTCAAAAGGACTGCAGGAACGAGTCCTCTAATGGGAAAGCTTTTACATGCTACGCCGAGGGAAAGTGGGTACTTCAACCTCGGGAGTGCAGAGAAGAGGGGGGGTCCTTAGTCAGGACGCTTGGAGGAGCTGGGCCATTGTGTGTGCGGGGTAGGGGGCAGTGGGATGGCTTTGAGGGCACGGAGGAATCCCCTGATAATAGGTTTCACAGAAGGCCTGAGGACACCTGTAATGGCTTAGAATTCACACAGGAAGCTGTGTGTGCAACTGACATTACAAAAACCTTACTCTCTCCACAGTTACTTAGGCCTAAAATGAACATAAAAAGGGTTGTTTCCGGTACTTTCATTATAATGGAAAATTTGAACTGATTTTTCTCCTTCTTTTTTTGCCATTTTAAAAATAACTCAATTTACCTCCAAATGAATATTGGTCCTCTCCCCCACTCCCGAAGGCTAGACCTCATAATTCACAAGAGAACTGCGTTTTTCTAGCAGACTCAGAGCCCTAGTCAAGGGCTATTGATTTTTCTCTTCGATACAGTTTTCTTTTCTAGTGCATAGTCAAGCCCAGAAATTACTTGAAATATTAATAAGATCTATTTTAATTGAATTTGCAATGATCTGTCCTCCTTGAAAAAGGCCGTTTAACTTTATTAACTTTATTTCCTCCAGTGATATAGTAATATTTGGTGATATTTGTCCTTGAGAAAACCAAGTTATTTAAAATATTTGCATATATATTATATGTATGTAGATAGTTATGTATATATTTGAATTTGCAAATGTTTTGTGATTTTTCACCTTATAAGAGTGCCAGGGCAAAATTGTGTTATGAGTAGATTGGTTTTGATTTTTAGGATATAGGCCAGATAGTTTATCAAGACAGAAATGCCCTCTGTGTGAGTAATATGGATATCATTTTCA